AGAATAGAAGAATTCGAGGTACACAAGAGACATGGGGAAGGAGAAATAAGGAAACTTGAAGATGATCTAGTTCTCGATGAAACTACAAATTTAACAATTTGTGAAGATGTGGATATCCAACAAGAAAATCTTCAACACAAGAGTATTCCTAAAAACTATTTTCACAACAAGGCAGATGAAAGACAACAAATTAACAAAGTATTGGATGTCATTTATGCCTTGTTCAATAAAATTAAACTGAAAATGATTTGGAAGCAACATCATCAATACCTTAAGTTCATGAGATTGCTACCAAACAAAAGAAAGAAAAAAGATTATGTGATCTTTGTGTCACATAAGCCACCCTAACATGGGTGATGAACCGTTGATCCATGTGACGTTAAACAAAGTGCTCTGTGGGAGGCAACCCACGCTTTTAATTACTGAGCATTTTATTGTTGTTTGTTTTGCTTTGCCTTTAGGTAATAAATAAGGCCTTACAGGTGCAAGCTATGGTGCAACAACTGGTGTTGCAAAGTTCGAAATAATGTGACAGTGATACGAGTCTAACGTGTAGATCTGTACCATAGTACTTGAATTCTGAGAAGTACTCCTTGAGTAGTTTATCTTGACAGTCTGGAATAATCTAGATTCACATGCACGTATGTTGGTTGAGAAATAAATAATTTTGGCACAAAATGATGAAAAGACAGTAAAAGACAACCGACCCGCTAAGTTGGGTAACCCTCACTCGGTTATTCATCCCAAAGGGGGTTGATCTCCAAACGTCGTCCAAATAAGGACAATATAGAACTGCAATGTTTGAAAATTTCATCGATAATTAAAAGTAGCAAATGTTACTTATTTGGTGCCTAAACAAAAAAAATCTTGATTAGTCTTGTGCATGTGATGATCATCATAATTCTCATTGTCTTAATTTGATTGTACGAATGAAAAAGGAGGAAAATTGGAAAAAGACTAAGTACAAAGCATAGTTGGAAAGGTATCCGGAAGGGAAGCTTAGATTAAAAATGTTATTACAAAAACCCTTTGTGTCATGTAAACAGCGAACGAACTACTTCTTGATCAATGAGAACAAAAGTCTCACATATGAGTACCAGTATGCTATGAATTTCATGAGCTCTTGTGATTGTCGCTTGAGGTCAAGCAACTGTTTAAGTTTGGGGGAGTTAAAAACTTGATCGGAAAAATAGCAAGTGTACTATTTTGCCTCTTGTAGTAATAACAAGGAAATTCCCCGAATGTCGATCTCAAGGACCGCGTATAAATATCGAGTTCAATTTATGGTTCAATTAAACTAAAACTTAAATTGGGGTTTTGATTTGCTAAAATTAAAATAATTGCGAATAAAGTAAATAGATGAGGTGAACAGTTTTGATAGATATGAGTGACATGTTAGGGTAAAGTGTGTAATTTGCCCCGTAACAACCTTGAATCCTTATTTCATCAACAAGTTCTAAATACCTAATTACCATATCTTTAGTTTATTTTTCCCTAAATCTTTAATGAGAAAACTTTTAATCATTCATCCTAAGCCCTATGTCCATAGAAACTTACCGATGAAATTAAGCATTTTTATTATCAAGGATTAACCGATAATATATAGGGTATCCCTAGTCCTAGTGATATCTACTATAGTCTAATCGTACAAAAACCTTAACAATCGCGGTCCAGCTGATTGTTAACCATAAATCAATCCTTGTTGGTCCGACAAAGAAAGCTTTAAAAACCTTGTACAATTAAATTGAATATGAAAAACAATTGTATTACTGAAATTAGGAATTCAGAGTCGTTACAAAATCAAATCAGGGACACCTCATAGTATTGTAGGGTTTAGCTACTCATAGTATTAAAAAAACAAAAGATAAATTGTAAACATTACAAGTATTGGGGAGAAAATTGATCTTCAATCGCTTCCGTTCATGAAAATCTCCTTTCACTGAAACCCTTGTCTTCTCCAATCTTTTCTTGTGTAATTCTTCACTTGCCAAAAAGTCCCATAATTCATTGTGAAAACTCATCTAAATAACAAACATTCACTTAGGTCGGTCAGAAATACCCAAACCACCCTTTCAGGCCAAAACTTGAGCAAATTAAGAGAGAATACTGAAATTAGCGTCACAAGCCGGCCATGGCCGTGTTAGGCAACACGGGCGCTCGTGTTGCACCTCTAAGATTTTGAAAATTCATGCTATCAGACTGACACGACCAGTGTTTCTGACACGGGCAGCCGTGTTGCCTGACATGGGCGGCTGTGTCAGACCTCCTGGAGTGTATAGAAAACTTTTCTAAAATCTTGTGATTTTTCTTGGTTTTTGCTTCGATTCTTCTTGAATGCTTACCTGAACCTAAAAACATTAAAGAGACACAACCAAAGCATAAAATACAGAAAAGAGAAATAAAGTGCTTAAAAACAATGACACAATTAACTAGAATTAATGGTAAACAAAGGTGTAAAAACCACTGATCAGTAACCGTCTGCGTAGCTCTAGTCCCTAGGAGCTATGGTATTAGATGTAGTTGACATATCTCTACATGTCATAGAGGGAGTGGCCAGCACAAAAGATCTATAGGAATATACTGCATGTAGCTGACATGATGCATGACACGCTTAGGAAGATGAGGATACGTCATATGTGAATTGCAAACCAACCATCTAGAGTAGAAGGAAATGTTCTCCAAGGGACGTTTCTCATAGTGAGTGACGTAAGAATGAAAGTGTATGTCCTCTGCTACCAAGCAGTCAAGATACACTTGGTATGGCTTTGTCGTATGATTTCCTCTGAGCGAGACAAATACATAAGCATATAGCATATACTTTGTGTGTCTTAGAACATATAACCACCCGGATATGTGTGAGAAGTGTTGGAGGATCTAAGCCTGAAAATGGAACAAATGAATCATTACTAACGACGTTACAAAAGTGTTATGAAAATGACATACAAACACCAAAAGACCAAGAAATATTACCATCAATGATGTGGTGCTTCCTGTCACTTGTTTAGTCTTCCACATACAACCTTCGAATAACTTGAAGTACAAGTAGACCCAACAAGCACCCCCCAGTTGTACTCATGGATCCGCCCGAAGTCATTAATGTATCACAAGTAGATTACATACATATAAGTGGAACTCTTGTCCATAATAATGGACGTGTCAACCAAATTCAACAAGTATTCTCTCAGAGCATATGCTCTATGCTGTGCAACCTTCTCATCATCACCAGCAAACTGCTTTGCTCTATGCAGCTCCTATACATACACCCTCTTGAAGAATTGAAACCTAGGATGACACCCTCAGGTGGCTTCTAACTCCTTCATGGCATCCTCTAGGTCAAATCCTATATAGTTTACCATCATCTCTAATGCACCATATCTGTAAATCTTCACGTGATCTAAAAGTTTCCCCCTAATTGAAAGATGCAACAGACACGAGTCATCATCCAGTGTGATACATCTCACCATGTAGAAGATAAAATGATGATGTATGTGTGTGTCATCACTCTTTAAACATAGACATCATACCATGGTTAACCATAACATAAATGGTCTTGCACAAGTCTATCATCCCCAAAATCCTCAAAACATCATGAAACCACTGCTCATTAGGGAGTTGCAGGACAATAATCTTCCGAACATGGTTGATAAATTTTAGAGCATCAGGATCTTGCAGAAAAATAAATCATTGTGAAATTTTTTTTATATTATAACAAACATGATTTACAAAGAATGAAACCAACTAAGTTTTATCTTTTCATCCCAGACATGTCTAATAGGATGGTATGAGTACCTCCAAACACCTTTGGTTCCTAAGGTGCCTTTGGTGCCTCGGGTACCTCTAGTACCCCATATGCCTCGGTACCTCTGGTGCCTCAGGTACCATCGGTAGGTACCTTTGGCACCTCGGGTTCCTGAATAGGTGAACCATATCTCCTACAGGAAGACAGAGGCAGAGATGCATGAGTAGGTGACACTCGTCTCCTTCTAGAAGAAAAAGGTAAAGATGCATGATCCTGAGAAGCTGACACATCCATATCAACCAGATTAGAAATAATAGGTACCTGTGGTGGTTGATTCTTTTACCTACAACCTGATGCATGTTGTGCAATCCTGTCGTGCCTTAATCTGTCATGCCCATCAGCCATAATGCATGTAAGTATACATATGAAACACTATGAGTTCTATAAAAAATTAAAAAATGCAAACTGATAGACTCTGGAGATGCATCTCTAGTTTTTGGAAATCTAAATGTTGAAAATATCCAAAGATGCATCTCCGAAATTTTATGTAACTCACATTAGCATAAATGGCCGAAAAACAGTCATTCAAAACATAAAAAATAATGCATTGATCAATAAAACCACCTGCCAAACACGTTTCTCATTTACATAACATGTATAAACTACCTATTTCATAACCTAATCCTCAATTTCTACAAATTTATAGAAAAACAAAAAAAAATTAGAAAAATAAAAAACATACAAATTGTGAGTTTACTTCGGTGTTGAATGAACTCTTTGATGGATTTGATGTCGGTGGAAGAAGCTTTGAAGTTGGTTGAATGATTTTTAGAGAATGTGAGTTGAGAGAGTTTGAGAAACTTGAGTGGTTTAGAGAATGTTTTTTAAAAGTGGGAAATGAGAAAAGGTTTTGGAACGTTTTTTTATCAAAAAGTGTCCAAAGAAACATCTCTTTAATTACCTTAGAGTTACATTTTCATCATTTTTTTCATTGCCTTAGGGCCTGACACAAAAATGTATTAGAGTTGGGGTGCGTCCGGAGACGCATCTCCAAAATATGAGGAAATTATTGTATTTCCCTTTTTTTTCTCTTTTCATTTTTTGTTAAAATATTGAATTAGAATGAATATAAATGGGCCAAGCCTAATCCATCAAGCAAAGGATTGACAAACCCATTTATTAAAAAATGCACCAACCTTTTAGTTGAAAAACCAATATAGAGATTTTGTGAAACATGAATTTTGCAAATAACATTTAAATTATGATACTCTACTACACCCGCGTATTAAACAAATTTAAATCAACACATGTTCTTTCGAGTTACACTTTTCTCCGTCACTACACATTTTCCCATTCTCAACTTCAACCGTTTGATTCATACAAAACATCTTCTTCCTTAACCGATGCCAATAACCTTCATTTACAAATCTACAAAACCGGTTTCACCAATGATGTTTTCACCTGCAACACTCTCATCAACATATACGTTAGAATTGGAAATTTGGTTTCCGCACAGAAACTGTTCGATGAAATGCCGCAAAAGAATCTTGTTTCTTGGTCTTGTTTAATTTCAGGTTACACACAAAACGGGTTGCCTGATGAAGCATGTTATCTATTCAAAGGGATCATTTCTAATGGTTTGTTACCTAATCATTATGCCATCGGTAGTGTTCTTCGAGCTTGCCAGCAATGTGGTCCGACTAGGCTTAAACTTGGGATGGGAATTCACGCGTTTATTTGTAAATCTCCGCATGGTTTGGACATGGTTTTGTCTAATGTGCTTATGTCAATGTATTCCAGTTGTTCTGATTATGTCGGTGATGCTCGGCGTGTTTTTGATGAAATTGAGTTTAGAAGCTCTGTTACGTGGAATTCTATAATTTCGGTTTATTGTCGAAGGGGGGATGCTGTTAATGCTTTTGAGCTATTTTCCGGAATGCAGATGGAAGCTGTTGAGCTTAATTTAAAGCCTAATGAATATACATTGTGTAGTTTAGTAACTGCTGCGGGTTCTCTGGTTGACTGTGGACTGGTTTTGCTTGAACAAATGCTGACTAGAATTGTGAAATCCGGATTTTTACATGATTTGTATGTTGGCAGTGCTTTGGTTAATGGGTTTGCAAGGTATGGTTTAATGGGTTGCGCTAAAATGATTTTTGAGCAGATGTATGATCGTAATGCGGTGACTATGAATGGGTTAATGGTTGGATTGGCAAAGCAGCACCAGGGTGAAGAAGCGGCAGAAGTATTTAAGGAAATGAAGGATTTAGTGGAAGTAAACTCGGAGTCTTATGTGGTTCTTTTGAGTGCTTTCACTGAATTTTCGAATGTAAAGGAAGGGAAGAGAAAAGGTCAAGAAGTTCACGCATACCTGATTCGTGACGGTTTGGTTGATTCTCGGATTTTGATTGGAAATGCGCTTATCAATATGTATGCAAAATGTGATGCCATTGATAATGCTTGCTCAATTTTTAAACTCATGCCTAGTAAAGATACTGTCTCTTGGAACTCTATGATCTCTGGCCTTGACCATAATGAGCGATTTCAGGATGCAGTTACTTGTTTTCATACAATGAGGAGAAATGGAATGGTGCCCTCAAATTTCTCAGTTATTAGTACTTTGAGTTCGTGTTCAAGCCTGGGTTGTATAACGTTAGGACGACAGATACATGGTGAAGCGATCAAGTGGGGGCTTGATTTGGATGTTTCAGTTTCAAATGCGCTCTTAACATTATATGCTGAAACTGATTCTATCAATGAATGTCGGAAAGTTTTCTTTCTAATGCCAGAATATGATCAAGTTTCTTGGAATTCTTTTATTGGTGTGCTAGCAAATTATGAGGCATCAGTTTTACAGGCTGTAAAATATTTCTTGGAGATGATGCAAGCTGGATGGAGACTTAATAGAGTGACGTTTATAAATATCTTAGCGGCAGTTTCTTCTCTTTCAGTTTTAGGATTAGGCCGTCAAATCCATGCTTTAATCTTAAAATATTCTGTTGCAGATGACAATGCTATTGAGAATGCACTTCTAGCTTTCTATGGAAAGTGCGAGCAGATGGAGGACTGTGAGACTGTCTTTTCTAGAATGTCTGAGCGAAGAGATGAAGTAAGCTGGAATTCAATGATTTCTGGATACATACACAATGGCATCCTGCACAAGGCCATGGATTTGGTATGGTTTATGATGCAAAGGGGTCAGAAGTTGGATGGTTTCACATTTGCCACTGTTCTCAGCGCATGTGCTTCAGTTGCAACATTAGAACGTGGTATGGAAGTTCATGCATGTGCTGTAAGAGCTTGTTTAGAAGCTGATGTTGTTGTTGGAAGTGCACTAGTTGACATGTATGCAAAATGCGGAAAGATAGACTATGCTTCAAGATTCTTTGAGTTGATGCCTATAAGGAACATATATTCGTGGAATTCAATGATTTCAGGCTATGCACGCCATGGACATGGACAAAAAGCTCTAAAGCTTTTTACACGAATGAAACAACATGACCAATCACCAGATCATGTCACCTTTGTCGGGGTTCTATCAGCTTGTAGTCATGTAGGGTTAGTTGATGAAGGATTTAAGCATTTCAAAACAATGGGTGAAGTGTATGGATTGACTCCTCGAATAGAACACTTTTCTTGCATGGTTGACCTTCTTGGAAGAGCAGGTGATGTTAATAAGATAGAGGACTTCATCAAAAAAATGCCAATGGATCCTAATATCCTTATTTGGAGAACAGTTTTAGGAGCATGCAGCCGAGTTAATGGCCGTAATACAGTGTTAGGGAGGAGGGCTGCCAAGATGCTTATCGAGTTAGAGCCACAAAATGCTGCGAATTATGTGCTTCTTTCTAACATGCACGCTGCTGGTGGGAAGTGGGAAGATGTCGCAGAGGCTAGGTTGGCAATGAGGAAAGCAGCAGTGAAGAAAGAAGCTGGGTGTAGTTGGGTCAACATGAAAGATGGAGTTCATTTGTTTGTAGCTGGAGATCAAACACACCCTGAAAAAGAAAAAATCTATGAGAAGCTGAAAGAGCTTATGAACAAAATGAGGGATGCTGGATATGTGCCTGAAACCAAATATGCACTTTATGATCTTGAGCTTGAAAACAAAGAAGAACTCCTCAGTTATCATAGTGAAAAACTAGCAATTGCTTTTGTTCTCACTCGCAAATCGGAAATGCCAATTAGGATAATGAAGAACCTTAGAGTTTGTGGTGACTGTCACACTGCTTTCAAATACATATCAAAGATTGTTAATCGACAGATAATATTACGAGATTCAAATCGGTTTCACCATTTCGATGGTGGCATTTGTTCTTGTGGGGATTACTGGTGACAAATGCTAAACAATTATACAGTTTCTCTGAACCTATCTACAGCATGGAAACATTGTCCACATGATTCTTCACCATTGTGGCTATGGGGAAACATGGTTGAAACTTCCAAGTGCAATTTATAAGTGGTGTTAATAAATAGGAATGAAGAGTGAAGGAAAATAGTGAGACACATATTGAGATTGTTTGGCAATGTCTGGAAGTTTTGATGACAATCCACCACTAAGAAATGAAGACATTGATTTGGTTTGGTACATAGTTGTCTTGTTTTAATGTACTGAATTGTATTCATTTTTTGTACGTCTTCTCACTGTAAATTTTCATCGTATCCTAATAAGAAAATGCTTAACGAGGACATTGGAAAATATAATATTGCTAATATTTGCTTACAATAATACCACCGCTCCCTAGCTAATTATTAGTCATCTTGTAATGATTCCTCTCTAAATATATACTATTCTTTTTCGAGAAAACTAAAGGATGTAATGCAACTGTTTTTTTTATATATATTTCTTTAAAATATATTCTGGATTAATACAATACTTTAATTTGTTAAAATATTAAAAATCAATATTAAACACTGAGATTTAAAAATGTTCATCATAAAAGGGAAATTTGAACTTTTTAACAAGGTTATTTTAAAATTAACTCATTTTATTTAAATAAAAAATTTTATACAATAATAAAAAAAGGATTTTTCTACTCACTTTTTACATTGAATATACATTGAGCAGTCAGATCTTTTAATCTATTTTAATTTAATGGACACAACTATACAAAGGATTAAATAGATTGGACCATTGTTATTTGACTCCAGGTTTGATCTAATTATTGAGTAAGGATCCTTTTCATTTCTAAAAAAAATGGATGTGTCAATTACCATAATTTGATGTGTCAATTATTATATAGAACGAATGTTTAATGTGACAAAAAATTTGCAAATTTAAAAAAAAAAAAATTTTGTGCAAAATTTGTATAAATAAATAAATGTAACACATTTGATATGGTTTATAAATTTCTGAAATTGATTTTAGTCTTATCAATAACAATTGTAAGCGTGAAACGTGTTTTTTCAACTATGAATTTTGTGAAGAGTCGACTATGTAATAAAGTGAGTGATTAATGAGTAAATGATTCTCTTGTAACTTTTATAAAAATAGATGTTCATGAAACAAATAACAATCATGTTATTTTTAGCTCATTTTCAAAAAATTGATAGTAGACAATTTTCATTGTAAATGTATTTCATTAAACAATATTATTTATTATTTTAAATATAATTTAGTTCATATTTTCTTTCATATTTAACCACACTATTATATAATGTCTGGATCCGCCTCTGATCCTTGAACACATTTTGAACTCATGATAGTGTGTTTATTTCACAACTTATATTACAGAAGTTAAGTTTCTTATTAACCCTCAGAAAAACAAGTTTCATTTCTTGGTAGTTATTTTATTATAAATTTGATATATTTTAATAAATTTTATGTTTTAAGTTATTTATAAAAGTATACATAATTGTTTTACAATTAAACCATCCACGTATGTAATTCAATCAAAATAGTATATATTAAGTTAAAATGAAAACTTTGCATTATTCACATAATACAAATTATCAAAATCAAAGAAAAAGTCAACTATTGAGTATATCTGACCCCTGATTCATCCTTTGCCTCTTATATTGTAAGGCGTTCAATGTCTCAACTATAACGTCATATACAATGGCCCTCCCAAGAGTGCCTTCATGAAACTCTCTTCTCTCTATACTCACTCTCTCAATAGCCACAATATGCTGACAGGTCGACAACACATTAACGAGATGGTTTGTCCTAACATGTTCTTCCTCTAATATCTCTTGACGAGTTGACCTAGGTGGCTCCCACTGCATCTTGCATCTGGTGTCATTTAAGAATGGGACACTCTAAATAACCATTAGATGTAATCGTATGCAGTACTTAGGATTGTTTTTGATCCGGACCAATATGGGTATGCAGGCTCCCGAGTAGTGGAACGAACCCCTAATCGGTTAAACCGTGGCTGAACCATAACAGTGATGAAATATTTTTTGGACCGAAACCGGTCCGATACTTTTGGATAAACCGAAACTGGACTGAAATAAATTTACTTGCGTTATGAGAACTGAGACTGGTCCGATAATTTTCGGCCGGGTAACCAGACCACCCGAAATATAATGAAAAAATTTAAATTGCAGAATTCCCAATATTTTTAATTCACATAACATTATTTTCTTTCCAAATTGTTTGAATTCTAGATAATATTCAGGTAGGACATTACATTATATTATGCATAATTTTGATTCTTAATTCTCATTGCAACATTGGATATTATATTAAATATTACAAAATTATCTCAAAAAACTTGTTAAAACATAAGTTGTGAAATTTATGTTTTCAAAAAAGTACAAAATATCATTATATATTTTAATGATGCCTCAGAATAATCTCATCATTGGCATTGCAAATAGAGATCTTTAATTTGCATTTGTCAAAGAAGCGACATTTGAATCTTCACCAAAATGATATGACAAAGATTCATCTTGTGGTTCCTTAAGCTATAAAGGGAAAAGCATATAGCGAGAAGGCATATTAAGCAATATGCATATTAAATTAAAATAGACATATGTAAATTTTACTTACAACACTAGCAGTGCAACCCTTCTTAATCCCATACTCCTCCTTCACCCAATCACCCCCATAGAGTACCATTTCAACTGTCTTAGTTTTCATAGATGATCGTTTCGGATCAGTAACCCTTTTTCCAGCACTAAAAGTTGCTTCTGAAGCAATAGTAGTAACTGAAACAGTTAGGATATCCTTTTTCAATTTACTAAGAAAATGATACTTGGCTTCATTCCCATCCACCATGTTAAAACATCAAACTTAGATTTAGGGAGAACTTTCAAGGGAGGCTGCTCAAGATATAATTCAAGATCGGATTTTGAATTACTATTACTCACAATAGTTTCTAAAAACCTCTCAAAATTCCTCATTCTCAATCCAGAATTAGATCCTACTTCGGGAATTTCATATACAGTGGCAATCTCATCATTGGTTCCATATGTATCTTGATACAATTGGAAGAGGAGATTTAATTTGGTTGACAACTCTTGTTCATAGGAAGTTGCTTAAGTAGGACTTGGATACAAGAAGGGGTATACCCATTTGATGAAGATAATCTTATACTTATTGGATCAAGTAGATTATAAGGTAACAATATTGGCCTCAGAATAATTCATAAGGTAACATATTTGGTCTCAGAATTAATTTTCATCATAGGCACAAAACTCATAAGGAGGTAACATAATAGGCCTCAGACACAATTAAATTCACAAGCAGGTAACAAAATAGGCATCAGATACTATAATCAAATGAAGTAGATCAAACATAATTTTCATCACAAGCACTATTAAATCATAACTTACAAGGAAATTTAATTGAATCATAGACACTATTAAGTCACAACTCACAAGGCAACTTAATTGAATCATATACACTATTAAGTCACAACTCAGAAGGCAACTTAATTGAATCATAGACACTATTAAGTTACAACTCACAATGTAACTCAGATATAATTGATCAAACAAAATTAATCATGGAAACATATTTCACAAGCAGAATTGGCCTCAGATAATATTTCATATCATACAGAAATCATCATAGGCACTAAGAAACAGAATGAGATCAAACAAAAATCATCATAGGAAAAACTGAACCATAAGGCAACATATTAAGCAGATCATGCAGAGTTAGCCTCAAATATATAACATTCATATCAACAGAAATCATCATAGGCACTAAGGAACAAAATGAGATCAAACAGAAATTATCATAGAAAAAATTGAACCATAAGGCAACATACCAAGCAGATCATACAGAGTTAGCCTTAGATATATAACATTCATATCAAGAGAGATCACCATAGGCACTAAGGAACATAATGAGATCAAACAGAAATCGTCATAGGCAAAATTGAACTACAAGGCAACATATCAAGCAGATCATACATAATTAGCCTCATATATATAACATTCATATCAACAGAGATCATCATAGGCTAAATTGAGTCACAAGGCATCATATCAAACTACCTAATGTACAATGCAATGGAAACTTATTTAATGTATATACCTTGGATCAAGAACAACACCAAAAGAAATCAATGTATTAGACTCTGACCAATACTTGTCATATTTCAACTTCATCTAATTAGAAAGCACTTGCAGTTGGGGATCATTTGAGATGCTTGAAGGTTTATCAAGTAGAACCTCCACCCTGTAAAGCTTAGCCAAAAACAGGTTAGCAGTAGGGTAAGAGGTGCCACTTGTAATTGATGTAACATAACCAAAAACCTCCAAAAACTTGCAAATATCAAGAACATCTTCCCAGTCATTTGCCTCAGGAAAAAAGCTGAGAAATGCACCATTTCCCTCAGCTTATCTAGGCCATAGTTATCTGTAATGGTATGCAGTGGACAACATTAACCAAGTTGAGTTCCACATTGTCTTGTTATCCAACACTTGCATTCTGACTTTAAGTTGTAACTCATCAACATATTTTTTGAATGATTTGTATCTAGTTTCAGAATTCAGCAAGTATTTGACACCATTTCTAATCTTATCATCAATCACCTCAATTATATCAAGACCATGTTGCACCAACAAATTTAAGATGCATGGACAATACCTTACATGAAATAATTTACCATCTAATGGTAAATTTCTCATACAAGAATAATCCATCTTGAATCTAGCAATGCAATTATCATTGGCTTTAGCATTATCTACTGAAATTGAAACAACCTTATCCCTTATTCCTGAATCATCCATCACCTTAATCAACTCCCTACACAAAACCTCCACAGAATATGGTAATGACACATTTTTAAAAGATAAAACTCTTTTGTGAAGCTGCTATTTTAAATCAATGAAATGACCAATCACAGTCATATAATATATTCTCTGTTCACCAGACCACAA